AGTTAAACGGAAAGAGGGGCACACCAATGGAAAAAGAACAACTCAGAATCGAAATAAAATGGATGATGATCATCCGCTAGAATTAATCATACACAGCGCGCCATCAACAATATAAGAACTGAACTATACAACGATGAAGTATGTCTGGTGATCCGCACCATACCAGAACAACAAAAAAAAGCAATAATACCTTCTCAATTTGTCCCTCTTCCAATAAATCGATTCTTTCCAAGAAAATTGCAGAAGCGCAAAACACGAAACTTCGTTCCGCAATGACAAGAACAACAAAGAGGAAGGAGATGACAAGTATTATACATAAAAATATGTATATCAGAATCCAATTATCATTTCCTTTAAATGGTTATTATTTTACTTCGAAGCAAGCCAATAAGAGGACAGGAACATTGTGGGCTTGCAACCATCTGGTATTGTATTGACTGAGTCTCTATTAAAAGCAGTAATTTTGAATAATGTTTCCCTTCTAAACAGGACGGAGATAATTGTAAATTTATTTCAACTTATTGTTAATTCAGTTGATGGTTTGTGGACAATGTTCAGTTCATTAAGTGAAAAGAAAGTATCTGGTTCGTTGGTGAAGCCGCTGATGCGTACGCTAAAAGATGCGTAAGTGGCCAGTGATGATGGTTTGTGAGGAAAGCAATGGTGTTTGAAAATGTTTTCTATTTATTTTTGAAGAAAGGAATTAATTTCTTTCATGCCCACTTCTGAATTGATAAGTTGGTGAGGCCGGTGGGCGTACGTTAAATGATACGCGACTGGAATTGTCCTTTTTTTTCCTTGTCCAAAAATTATTGATTAAGTTTTCTGCTACTTGTAAAATAAATGAGAGGTATAGGATAAGTTGGTAAAGCAAATAAAAAAAGAATACATATAAAAATTATATTTCCCTCTCCCCCTTCCCCGAAATGCTTGGAGTGACCTAATGGTGCTTAGTGATCTGAGGGTGCCAAAGAGACGGAAAAAATTTTTTTGTTTATTAAAGTGCATTTTATATATAAACTTTACAATTCTGCATTTTCTAATATGCATTTTCCGTTTCCGTATAATGGAAAGAAAATTAACAAAGACAGCCATTTTGTGCATCGTTTTGTCTGATTATCTGTTCTAATATTCTAATATTAGATAACAGGCCTGTGCGAATGTTCAAGAAATTTGCAGAAATCGAAGTTTTGTATGAAGTTGACTTTATCTTGCTATAAACGTATAGGTTGCTAAGAAATTGCTCAGATTGGTGACAGTTGCTTAAGTTTGCTAGAACCGCAAAAATTTGTTCCTAACGCCAGAAGTTTCCGAGCAGAATGGGACAGCAGGCCTACTCAAGGCTCTGTAGTATTCTTACGATCTCCCTCATTGGCATTCAGTTTTGTATAGTCTTCGGTCCAGTTTCTGATAAAATTTCACCTCCATAAAGAAGACGGTGGTGATTTCGAGAGTAACCATCTATTCCACACTTGCGGGCCTTTAGGAAATCTTTCCCCCTATGACCAGAGGCTAAGCAATGGAAACACGGCTTTCTTTCTTTAAGGGATCTTCCAGCGGTCATCCACTCCCGTGCCGTAATACTCCTTGCAATACCACACCCCGTGATCGAAACTGTGACAGAGGGAACATGAAGGCTTTACACTACGCGCTCTCTTTCTCCCTTGCAACAATATGTAAACTTTGCATCCTATTCTGATCCTGAAATCTTGGTACTCTCGGTAGTTTGACGTACTCGACAGGTTTCGACTCAATCCCGTTCACCATTTCCACTACTATTATTTGGAATCTAACTTCGTCTTTCAACCAGTCTCTGAAAGCTATAACTGATCCTTGTCTGGCATGTTCGTTTAACCAGCGACTGTAATTCTCTAGCTGACGCTCAGGCAACTTTTTACCAGCAGGCTATGAAGAGTTCTACCACGCAACTCCCCGTCTCTTCCTTTGACCTGTAACTTTACCACTGTAACTCTAACAAGGTGAGCAAACTTTTCCAGTGCGTGGATATCGTTGCTTCTTATTAACGTTGCCTGTTCTAGTTGATCCAAGTAGACTCGCAAAAGCCGGCGCGTACCTCCATACCTCGTCTTTAATTAATATTTAATTTGCCTCCTTGTATTCGGAGGCGGCGAATCCAAGACCACAGATGGATTCCAAAGCGTTCCCTGTGAGTCATTATCGTAACCTTGCCATTTTCAAATGTACTGGCTCCATTGACTCGTGTACAACTCTAGTAAAAGGGCCCAAACATCTTCAAAATTTCTCTTGTCACCACTGAACGTCGGAACTGTTAACGGCTTAAAATATCGGTTTCGGTCTTCGTGGCTGCCGTGACTTTTGGACGCGCCGACTTTGATTACATTTTGACCCGCTTCGATCATTCTTTGTACATCTCTTTCGATCGTTTCAGACTCTTCAACTGCTTCTTTTTCTGCAGCTTCCTCTTCGACTTCCACATAGAACGCGATCAGTTTCTCTAACATCTCATGTGCGGTCATCTAAGGCTGCCCACAGCTTTACAATCACAATTTCCATGTCCGTTATCTCTGAATCTTTTAAGTATAGTTTTTCCAACTATGTCTGACCTTTGTCAATTTTGTCTTTGCCTTGCGTTTTCTTTTCTTGGTCTCTATCAACAGAACGTCCTTTTGCTTCTGTTTGTCGACTCCAGTTGGTCGAGTTTTGTGGTTTTTTCTCAGTAAACTTTAATAGCTTCGCCATTCTCGGATTCGGTAGCCATAGCACTCAACTCCAAAACTTAACTCGCAAACGAAACCTCAAAAAATATAATAGCTCACACCCTTGCTCTCATCGTGGTCGCCAAATATGTTCGGAAACGAAACGGAAATCAAACAAACGCGTTTATTGGTAACACAGCCTGGTAACTCATGGTAAACACCAACTACCGCCAAACAAATTCTCACTAGAAAACTCAAAACTTTCAACTCCTCTCTAAGAATCTTGCACACGTCAAAAAAGAAAGGTCTGCNTTTTTGTTTTTGTTTTTGTTTCTGTTTTTGTTTTTGTTTTTTGTTTTTGTTTTTTGTTTTTGTTTTTTTTGATACTGGCCTGCGTAGCTGGCAACTTAGTGAGCGGCAATATTCTGGAGCGGTGGATCGGGTGTGTAAATTTCTTCCCATTCCCCTCGCGTCGACGCACCTTACCGCTCAAGAATACTCTTCCTTTAAACACATACACAAGGACGTCAGCTGGTCAGGCCTGTAATATTATACATTACGATCGCGAGTTATTAATCGTTTGCACTAATCTATAGCTGTCTGCACCACTTGCCGGAAGAAGCATGCTGAACGATTGTTGAGTTTAAGATGGCGGGGTTCTGCCGAAGGTTCACAAGACCAAGAGGGAGCAGTTTCTGAAAGGTTTGTTGGATCTGTTTTTTGTCCCTCAGATTCCGTACTTTTCTCACTGTGTATTTAGCTTGCGCATGCCACATCAACCATGCACACTAGGCAAGGAGCTCAGAAAAATAATGTGTTAGTGGCTGTGGAATAAACTTAATATGAAAACAACACTGCTGGATAAAAGATGAAACCCTTCTTTTTTTCGCAAATTAACCCCTAAATATGCCTTTCCGTTTTACTGAGTCTTTCAATAAAAAGAGGTATTATAGCTGATAAATTATGTTCAGAAATGCTCGCTTACCTTTCTCGTTGTTAGTGAGACTGTCTTATTTCTCAGACCAGCCAGATCGGATGCGAAAGCTACTATACAAGCACATTAAGCCGAAATGGAGACGACTCCATTCCGTCAATTCTCACTCCAAAGCCTTGCTCTAGTCCCGGCTGGGGTCCAGGAAGTGCTCAAGCAACCTTTCTTCAGAGCACCGACACAGAGATTCTCAGCACTTACAACGCAGCGATGGACAAAATTGCCAGCAATATTACTTTCACGCGACTACCACTAACTTCTCAACTTGACTCATGGGATGAATGCACTGCAGCACAACGACAATACTACATCCACAAAGCGGCTGAATACTGCATGCTGGTGCACGATGTGATAGCCCTTAACGACTGTAAGCGGCGTTTTCATGCCTTGGTATCTCCTGGTGAAGAAAATAATGATAAAGTAGTAGCCGATGACGTGCTGAAAGCTTTGATGACCGCTTACAAGAATGCTGAAGCCAAAAGCACCAGAACGCATATTCTAAGCCTTTATGCCTATAAGTATTCGATTAGCACGTTAAAGAAACTTCACTCACCATACGATAAGTTGTCAACTCCTCAGATACAAAGAGCGCGGTGTCATGCAAAAACAAAAGGTCCTGGAAGAGTGCCTTAGAAGAAAAAACATCATCATGTGCGCATTGATACGAGTAAAGTGGACTATTTTATCGAGTTCAATAATCGTCCATATTTTTACCAGGATGTGTCTAACGGAACTAGGTCGCTGCAGCTAGACAGTGGTGACACCATTGAGATGCCGAACGTCGTGCGTACAGTGACGCGCTCTACAATGATTAGCCAGTACATGCAATTCTTTCAGGAGGAGACGTTTGAACCTCAAGGTCGCTCCACTTTATTCAAGACTCTTGAAGTCAGAGAAGCCTCACAGAGAAAGTCATTGCAAGGTCTCGACAACACTGCTGCTGATGGTTTAGCTGGCTTTCATAAAATTGAAATGATAGTCGACGACTTAGAGAAAGGGGGAATGAAAAGGCAATGGAGCGCTGAAGTCAAAGAAAGACTGAAGAAAGCAAAACGCTACTTGAAGACTGATTTTCGCGTTCATTGTAATCCAGAGGAGGCTGTATGTCCGGATCATTGCCGTAAGCTCGCTCTTGGTGATGAACAAGATCTCGACTTCCAGGAAAATTGTTCCCACCAACACACAGAAAACTGTAAGGAGTGTCCAAAATCTGCGAAATATCGTTGATGAAGTCGAAGACAAAATTCGAGGACTGCCTTGAAGACCTTACAGCAGCGAGCAACGAGATGATCTCCTCTATGACTTCAAGCTGGCAAAAACCAACATTTTGCAGTGCAAGGCTCTTATTGTTCCCTCCATAAGCCAGGAAGTAGCAAAGCAAGATCAGCTGAGGATCATAAGCACCAGTCAAGACTGTGCACTAGTCATAATGGAGTGGGCAATAAAATTTATCCAGCTTAGATTTCGTGAGAAGCAGTCCAATTGGTTCGGCAAGAGAGGAACGAGTTTGCACATCTCCACAGTGCTCACAAGTGATCCAAAACGACAAAAGAAAACTAGAACTGCACTCCTATGCCCATCTGTTTGGCACATGTCAGCAGGATTGGTTCGCCGTGTGTTCCATCATAGAGAGTACACTAAAAGAAATGAAAACCAAGAAGCCCCACATCACTCGAGTCTACATAAGGTCCGATTAAGCTGGCTGTTATCATAATAATTCTCTCATTGCCGCAGCAAGAGACATCGGTCAGCGGGCAGGTATTGAAGTCTTCCGGTATGACTTTTCAGAGCCACGTTATGGCAAGGATGTGTGTGATAGTATCCTGTGCCCAATGAAAACATGCATCCGACGTTTTTGCAACGAAGGACACGACATTCTAACAGAGGAAGACATGAGAAAGGCGCTCTCTGAGAGACCAGTGAAAGGTACATCCGCGTGCGCATGTAAAGTTGACGAGTCTAAGAGAACCTTAGAAGTGAACAAGATAGATGGTTTTAGCAAGCTACACAACATCCAGTTTGGAAAAAAAGTATACGTGCGTGGAGGTCGTACGGAATAGGGCGTGGCAAGGAGATTTCTTACGACCAGCTAGTTTCAAATGACCAAGGGCACACCGCTCTCGTTGTAAGTCTTTCGGTATGACTTTTCAGAGCCCCAGTATGGCAAGGATGTGTGTGATCGTATCCTGTGCCCAATGAAAACATACATCCGACGTTTCTGCAACAAAGGACACGACATTCTAACAGCGGGAGACACGAGAAAGACGCTCTGTGAGAGGCCAGTGAAAGGTACATCCGCGTGCGTGTGTGAAGTTATCGAGTCTAAGAGAACCTTAGAAGTGAACAAGATAGATGGATTTAACAAGCTACACAACATCCAGTTTGGGGAAAAAAGTATACGTGCGTGGAGGTCGTACGAAATAGGGCGTGGCAAGGAGATTTCTTACGACCAACTAGTTTTAAATGACCAAGGGGACACCGCTCTCGTTGTAGGTAAGGGGTTCTTCCCTTTTCACAATGCACGTGTGTATGAATACACAGTTCCTGGAACAGAGGTTTCAAATGAAGGCGATGATTTGGACGATTCAAAGATGGACATGTTTGAATGTTTGGGGCCTGGATGCGTGAAGAGTTTCCAAACGTTTTCAGAGCTCGAGTTACATTTGAACGTAGGGGACCATTGTGTGAAGGATGAAAGGCTGTCAGAAATAGTATATGATAAACTGCGTAGAGATTGGTTAGAGAGGTTTACTACATCAGTCAGCATCACTGACGAACCACAGTGCGAAACTAGTACCCACCAGGTTGTACGTGACTCAATGCCTCCAGTAAACAATGTCAGTATGGGCTGGGCCCTACCCAAGCCACGAGCAGGATCCACTAGATTCAGTTGCAAAGTTAAGAATTATTTAACAGCAAAGTTTGATCAAGGCGAACAATCAGAGCTAAAAGCTGACCCTCAGCAAGTTTCAAACGATATGCGAAAGGCAAGAGACGAGCAGAACAATGGGTTGTTTGACCGAGACGAGTGGCTTACCAGGAGCCAAGTGCAGGGGTTTTTCTCTCGCCTTACAGCAAACAGAAAAAGGCAACGAACACCCTCAGAAATCGAGCGAAGTCCGAAGGAACTGTCCCTAGAGGAAGCTGAACGAAAACGGCTGATGGAACACATCCTTAATGAACTAAAGCCGCAGCACCCTCTGTCCTACGATGCCTTTAATCTGTGCGAGTGCCCAAAGGAGAATAAGCTTAGTCTTAGTCTTTTTAGTGTTGCAACGCTCAAAGAAATCTTGTCGTTTTTTGAAGTACCATTTAAATGAAGAGACAGGAAAAAAGACCTTATTGAGCAACTGATGCCATTTATACAGGAATGCCAATGCTTTAATTAAAGTATATCAGAAGCTGCATAGCCCAGGAAAACAAATGATGGTGCCTGTGGAGTGAGTTTGTTTTAGAACAATAGGCACAGCCTCAAAAGTAACCTAATAAACAGTTGTACTCAGCGAATTAACGTACTC